GCCCCCCCTAGTTCCTACCCAGTATCCATTCTCTCCTTCCACAGTAGTGGCCCCTACTTTGTTGTAGATTCAATGTAAAATACTAACCCAGACTCTGTTACAGCTAAATGTTGTTGTGTAATGCATTTCTTATCAATGAGATGTAGTCAGTCTACTAAGGATGTCTGGGAGATTTTTTGCTTTGATACAGGCACTGCCCTTTCTTCTTTTCCTCCACAATGCAGGCTAGAAGTAAAGTAGCCAAAAAGGTAATAAACATGAGGACAAAAACGAGCTACCCGAGACAGTGATGGACTATCTAGTGGAATCACTATACCACAAATACTCTATGTGAGGAGAAATTAAACCTTTGTAGTTAAGTCTCAGTAGTCAGCCTTTTGTTACTTGCAGCCAAATACATTCTCACCTGATACACTGTGGTGGAGTAATGTCATACCCCTCCAGGCTATTTATTAAAGGCAAGGGAATATTTTATTTTCCTTAATAGTCTATAAGATTGGAAGGATTTATCAGCACAAATGTTACTATCCAGATCTCTTCAGCTCTCTTCAAATGGTGAGAGTGGGCGAATAGCAAGGGACACCACATTATCTGAACCTGTTTGGCTCCTGAATTCAGACATTTTGGATAGTGGGGGTTATATGTACCATTCATTCCTGAAATAAACCTGTAATTAACAGCACTCTATGCCAGTCATTATATGGCTGTTTGGAACACAGAGATGATTAAGTCAGATGATTGAAGGTGGATGCCCAAGTTCCCCTAAACATTAAGCTTCTAAAGCGCAGGAACTGAGCTGCTCTGAGTAAGAGATTTAATTCTAGCAGTCCTACCATCTTGTTCCTCATCTCAGCTTTCTTTACCCCTTACCCCACTTTAGTGTTCTCACGTCACTTATTCATTCACCGGCTTTTTAAAGTATTCCCCAAGTGCCTAGAATACCCAGTACTTGGATTGCATATTTATTTGTATTTTGAATGCCTAATCTTTGACTTCCAAGATCATTCAGGTTTCAAATTCTGTTTGTTTTTTCTACATCTAAACCTCCATATGCTCCTGTTGGTCCATCAAAAAGCAGCTGTTTTCTCAGTATGAAACATCTATGTGGTTTACCTAAACTCAGCTGTGGAAGCTGGGCACATTAACCTTATCTTGATGTCATGACTAGTAGGCACTGTAATCATAAGCCCAAATGACAGATCCCCTCACTCAGCTCCAAGGTACATCCAGGTCAGAATTTGAGACAGTAGTAAAATGTTTCAGACTAATAAACTTTGCCCCAAGTGTTAAAGCTTTAGGAATTGCTACCATAGGAACACAGGTGTAACAGGTTAAGGTAGACAGTTGAGACAGGTGCCGGGAATCCTGGGACCACACTGTATTGTCACCTTCGATATTTTACTTTTGAGGGTTATTTTTTGTGTGTATACATGTGTGTGTGCACGTGTGTTTGTACTGTTAGAGGCAGATGGTTGGGCCAGTGAGACTCTGATGGAAATTATAGCACCTTTCTCCAAAATAATACACATCTGCCCATACACACACGATATTTAGAATCCATTTTTGGAGGTCCAGGTTAAGAATCCACCTGTGATTGAGGGTGGAAACTTTTTCAATATCATTACTTGGTCCTTTATTAGGTACTATTTTCATTTACCTTTCATGTGTGTATGTTTTATCTCAATTAGCAGGCAAGCTTCCTGCAAAGAATATATAAGTCTTTATTACCTTAGGTGATGTGAACATATAGGGACTAAGGCTTGTGGGAATTAGTTGCCGATTGAGTCCTTTGAAGCTGCTATGATTTACTGAGGACAGGCAGCTTTCAATATTCCATCACCATCTCTCCCTCCGAAACAAGAGATCACCACAAAAGGACTTGGACCTTACACTCATGTTCTATTTATTTTATAGGTTTTAGGCCAAGACATTATTTAACATATTCTTCATGCAAATATCCAGTCTTGAATATTTAGAAAACAAGGTTGTGCTTAGTAGAAAGCTTTCTACCCCTTTAAAAATCCATGGTCTTTATTCCTTCCGCAGCTCTGTGCCCCACTCCATACACACTCACACCTGCAATCAGATCCTCTACTTATCCTATCCCATGAATTTTATTTCTCAAACTACTTTACTGGAGTGTGCTTATGGAAAAAATTAAAAACAGAAATTAATGTAATGCTAATAGGACAATGGCTATGTGGTTTTCCTTTTTTCTGATCCACCTATAAATTTTCAGCTGGCCACCTTAAATCAAACCTCTTTAGAACTTGAAAGTGTTTTCCCTCCTCCAGTCCCTTCTTACTGACTCTGCAGGCTATTACAGCCACCTGGTGGCCATATGGAGAAATGATAAGTAGATTGCCCCCAAATTTTCTAGTGAGAGGAAGAACCCCTTGGATCTATGGAGAAAGAGAAACCTGTGGATAGAGATTACAGCACAAGACATCCTATTTCTTGGTCCCACCTTGCCTCCCAGGACACAACATCCCAGCCGCTAGTTATAGACAGATGAATTCACTTAACATTTGAGTTAATCAATCAAAATTTATTGAGCAGTAACTGTGTGCCTAACACTGGGAATACAGCACAGAGAACAAAATGGGCATGATCTCTGCCCTCATGAGCTTACAATCTAGCAGCCAACCAGAAAATTACATCCATAATTTTAACATTACAATTTTTATACGTGTGCTTAAACATGCTTGGTGCTAAGAGATTTAACAGAAAGTCTTGACCTACACTGAAAATCAGAAAAGGTCTCCCTAAGAAACATTTAGGATCAGGTAGGGGGCAAATGGAAGGAACTGCACTGCAAGCAGAAACAGCTCTGAGGCAAGAAGACATTTAATGAACTGAAAGCCAACCAGTGTGGCGAAAACATAGGGAACAAAGAGGAGTAAGTGATGCAAGATGAGCTATACAAGGTAAGCAGAGGCTGATTTATGCAAGGTCTCTGAAGTGAGGGCTTTATTCCAAAAACAACTGGAATCCACTAAGAATCTGAACAAGGAAATTTAGATGTTTAGGTTTGTTTTTCAGAGCTCGCTCTTGACTGCTATGTGTGGAGGACAGAAGTGGAAATAGAAGTACTGGTTAGGAAGTTTCCACAGCACTCTACACAGACCTAATGATAGTTTGGAGAAAAGCTGGATTCCAGAGCTACTTGGCAGTTAGAATCTACTTGGAGTAACTGAATGTGTGAGAAGAGGGATGTGTTTCTGGCAACAGGTACTGAATGAAGGAGGAGACTCTGAAAGAGGGACAGGTTTGGACAGATCCCATAGGCACAAGCCCTAAGGCTGGCATAGGTCCACAGCAACAGCATAACATTGGTTCTCAAATAGCTGAGGGTTTAATTGAGCCAACAAGAAACACATGAAAAAATTGCAAAGCTGATTAAACAATTCAGATAATTCATGGACTGTTGCATTATATGAGACTGAATAGAAGCTCTCAAGTCTCACAGTGTGTTCAGATACTGCTGAAGCCAAGCCACCTTTGTTCATGCCTTTCACAGTCTGCCCTTCTGAAAACTCCTATGCAGCCCACCCAATCTCACAGGAGCCACCTTTCTTTGCTCTGGGCCCTGGTGGCCCCTGCCAGGAAGAAGCACTATGCTCTCCTTGCTTCTTTTTTGCCTGCTACTGTTAGGAAATTCACCTGTTATTCTCATTCTCCCCTGCTTAGGTTAAATGGGACCACATCTGGCCACTGCCCCACCATGGTTGTTCTCATTTGGTCACCAAGAGTTTTCTGACTGACTTAGCTCTTCTCTTTACATTACCCCTGTCAAGCCCCCTCTTGTAGAGTTGACATCTTGGAAAGTCAACCCTGTCTTCCACACCCTCCCTAAGAGGCACAGGCCCATCATGAATATACTGTGGCATTTGCCTCCTTTTTGCTCCCCCATCCAAAATGTCCCAGTCTGAAGGCCCTT